ATTTACTGCATCTGAAACAGAAGGGTTGAAGGAAAGGAAACGCGTCGCCATGGTGAGAAGAAGAGAGGCAAGTTGGGGTGTATATGCAGCTGCAAATAGAGCTTCTTCTGAGGGTAAATCTTATCAACAAAGAAAGGAAAAAAACAAACAAAAGAAGAAATTCATACAGCAACGAGACGGGCGTGTTTTGCTATACAAGAAAGAAAGTAAAAATAGAGGTTAAAGTAAGAAGAAAGAGAGGCTGCTGGCCCCCAGGCGTTTGATTGGGAGCACTTCGATATAAAATACAAAGAAGAAAAAGAAAATATAATTCTTTATTTGTTTAATTCATCAAGAATGCAATAAACAAACAAAGAAAATAACAAACAAACAATGCACAGGCGCCTGAAGCCTCGGCCGCCCCTCCAGGTGTATATGCAGCTTCGGAGAGTGAAAACTGAGGGGAAAGCAGAGAGAAAGCTGATAATATTTTATATTTTTAATATTATTTATTATTATTAAAGAGAAATATTCAGTTATTCTCTCAAGAGAGAGCAATTTATCGCTTCTTTACCCCTCAGATGTAGCAGAAGAACGTTGCTGTTGTGTAGGTGTGCTGTTTGTATGCCTTAGACACGCTGTACAGACACAGCGACTCTTAATAGAGTTTATTTTCATTTTAAAAGAATATAATTAATTCAAACTTATTTTTTCTGAATTATTTACCTCTTATTTACGGAAAAATACTTGAAATGCTTCTCTTCCCTCGCTCTGCTAAACTTAAACCAAAGCCGCAGCTTCACCCACGACGCTGCAGTTCTCTATGTTGCTCTTGTATTAATTAATTAATTAGTTAATTAATTAATTAATTTATTTATTTTATATTCCTCCTCTTTTCCATATTCCGCTTATTCTTTTCACTCGCTGCTACGCGTGTAGCCCGTTTTTCTAAGGGTTTACAGTTTCATAGGGTTTAGCTTAGGGTTTAGGGTTTTAGCTTAGGGTTTGGGGTTTAGCTTAGCGTTAAGGGTTTAGCTTAGGGTTTAGGGTTTAACCTCGGGTTTAGGGTTTAGAGCTGCGGATCTCCCTCGGAAGCAAAAGAAATTAAAAATTATTCAGAGTCCGCAATTTGCCTTTGCATTACCAGCAACAAACAAAAAAACAAAAAAATAAACAAATAAACAAATAAATAAACAAGCGAACAATAAAGAGGCTGTGTACATGTATGTTTTGCTGCCTCACCTTTGATCTTTTTCTTTATCTGTCTCTGTCTCTCTCTCTTCATGCATCTGTCTCTGTCTCTTCCTTCTATCTGTCTCTGTCTCTCTCTCTTTCTCTCTCTCTCTCTCTCTCTCTCTTTCTGTCTCTCTGTATCTGTCTCTCTTTCTGTCTCTCTGTA